GGTATATATTTAATTTAATTTAAAAATATCATTATTAATATTAATTGTGAAATTAAAACCTGATTTTTAATTAAATAAAGTAAAAACCTGATTTTTTAAAAATCAAAACTAAATAGCTGGTTTAGTGTAATTTCCACAAAAGTTCGGGCGGCTCGGGCTCGGACTGAGCCTCATTTTTTTTTTGTCAGACTTTGCTCGGCTCGGGCTGAAAAAAACTCAAGCATAGCCCAAACTTTTTTATTTAATTTATAATACGTATAAATCGTACAAATTTTGAATTTTTTAAGCAAAAATATAGATTTGACATTAATAAAAAAAATCTCAAAACGCTCGATCGGGGCCCGGCTCGGCTCGGCCCAGCCCGCTAAGCCTAAAAAAGCTCAACTCGTTGACATAGCTGCTGGGGTCTCTATAACAATTGTCACACGTTCATTAATCGCAATCAACAGTATAATATGTAAATTTTAGGATTAAAAGCGAATATAGTGATGGAGGCTCCAACTTTGCATAGTTAATAAGACGTTTTACAGCTTTGACTACTTAATATTCGAAAAGGCCAAACGAGGAATCTTTGAAACTCAACACAAATGCAAAAACTGAGGATGGTGGGGATTTAGGATCATTTTGGCCGGGGGGGGCGGGGGGGTGATGGCAGAGCAAGGTATGGAAGGGGTTTTAATAGTTCGAAAATGTCCAAGTCACCAACCATGGTATGAATTTTGCTAGGTCACACAACTTCAAGTTGACGGTGGTTAAATGTGATGCACAACGATGATCTAGAGCGTTCAATTTTCTCTTTCTTGGGCCCCAATGCTTCAATACTTGGAAATGGAATTGATGTCAAGTGTACATTCCTTTTTGTGGAAGATGGGGTTATTTTCAATCCTTTTCATGGAAGATGGGGTTATTTTCAATCATATGGACGGTCCATTGCCTGCAAGCCCTACAAATTATAACCATATTTGCTGCAAATATAAATATAGCCTTTGTTTTATTCCAATTTCAAAAACACATTTTATTTATTCTTTTCAACCACACATTTTTCAATAAAATAATATTACACGCAAACTTAAAAAAATTTCTTATTTTATCCCTACAGCTTTCTCATTTTCACGGAGCTGGAGAACTTCTTCACCTATTTTCTTTATACCTTCCTCCTTCACTACTCGATCTTGACTGGAAAAATTCAAAATGGTAAATGGGGTTTTGGTGTGTAAATTGCCCAATATTGTGTTTTAATATGACGAATAGAAAAAAGGATTTGCCCCAAATTACGTAGTCCATCACCCTTTATATTGGGCCCGGGCCCAAAGTTGAAAAAAAGTTCCTGCCCCACAATATTGTTCAAGTAGATGTAACTTTTTAGCTTTGAAGTTCTATAATGAAACACCTTTCTGTACTGACTTTTCGCATTGAGAATATATATGAAGAGATTTATTAATAATGATTCCCCTTTACATGAAAATCAAGCCTTTCAAATTGATTATAAAGTGTACTAATTGTCAAAATGTGCAATTTTCCATAATCGAAAGCACAAAACTCTAATTGATGAGATGCACGTTACATGTCTTACATTTTGGTAGTTCGAGTGAGTACATGTTCGACTTGTGTTCTTGGGCCGACGTGCCAAGAAAACATGTAAACAGCTTAGTCAACTAGTCTAGAATGTTGGAAATAAATGTCCTGTGTGCTCCCTGAAAATCTTACCTTCCTTGAACTCCAAGTTATTAAGCTTTTCTCGACACCATTTCAAGTGAGATGTGGATATTATCGACATTTTAAGCACTATTTCCACCAGCTTCATGTCGATCGTAGTTAATAAAACATCTATTTTCTCTGATTCTCTCCGCATGGGATTCACCTCTCTCTTCAACCAAAATTTTTTCTTCCCTTGCAAATCTTTCAACAATAGCCCTTTCTTCATGAAAACAAAAATCGATTCTTTTTCGTTAATACATAGAAATCACTTCGATGTTGGATTTGGATGAAGAAATACCTTTTGTAGATCCTTAGTCAGGTCATAGAAGAGCTCCAAGTCCTTAGGGTCTTCAACACGGGGAGAATGAATCGTCAAAATACTCTTGAATTTCCACAAGGGTTTGTCATCTGATTTTACGAATAACCAAAAAGCTTTTATGCATTTCTCCATAGCTTTAAACGCTTCACTTGCCCGGATGGGTTCTCCTCTTATGGTTCCATTTTCTTCTTCAACGTAACCTAAGTATATATGATTAAAAACGTTACACATATGTTATAAATCCCGAAAATAACTATATATAGGTTTTCTTTTCATTACACGATACTAAAGGCTTGTTTGGCAGGATTTCTATTTTTGCTTCTTCTTCTAGTAGAAAGCTCAACTTCTTTTAAAAACTCTTCTACTCAAACGAATCACTTTCAAAAAATTATTCAAACGTGTTCAAAAACAATTTCTAGTCTCGTAAGCAACTTCTAACTTTTCAAAAGTCTTGCCAAACGGATTGAACTCTTATATAAAAAACTAAAGCTTACCTAAACACGATTAAAGAATCAAATATTTAATGATACAGAGACATAATTTAACCAGAACTGTCACCAACGATATATTTGATCATATGATAGAGGTCCATCTTAATTTCTACTTAGGGTAATCACAAGGATGCTTCCATTTAATTAAAACTCACCTTGATTTTTAATTCATAAAATTGACAAAAATGCAATCAAACAATTATTTGCTTCCTGGTCAACAATATTAGGCAAATCTTTTTCGTTCAAAATAAATTATTAAACAAAGAGCATGGCCCCAAGTATATATAGGAAATGGATAAGCATAGAATAATTAAAAAATTACCAACTTGAGAAATGTCATTTTATCCTATAATTCTATAATAATAATAATAATAAAATTAAAATTTAATTACCTTTAACCTCAGGAACCTGGAGTAGACTCTTGAAGGAAAACCTTTTATGTATGAAATTTGAATATCTTTTGCATTTTTTACATTTTTCTTCTTCCATGAATCTTTCTAAAAGAACCTGAAATTTTTGAAAATCTCCTGCAGTACAGTTATGGAATGATGCCTCTTTTTGAGTATTGATAATGGATTCAATCTGTCTGTATTGATAATAGAGCGCTTCCCAGGACAAACACATTTGAGCCACATATATCAACTCCAAGTCACTTTCCAAACTCCTTGCAATCGTTTTTCTGTCCATTTTGTTCCATGAGCCATGTACTATTGCATCTGTAAAATCCGAACACAGTATTACGACTATATAGAATTGACATGATCTAATATACCAAATATGATTAAGGAATGCAAGTACTCACTTATTCCGAATAATCTATCACGACTGAGAGTGTCAAACCATCTCATTCTTTCTGTATACGTTCGATAGAATGAGTCTGCTACTTCGTCTGCACTTTTGTTGGTCGAACATTGCTCGAGTGCAGCAGTTGAATTTGAGCAAGAAAATGATGATAAGTTGTCATCAGTATACAAATCTGTTACAGATGCAGATGAATTAGTATAGTCTGTCTGATCAGGATCTTGATTAAGGCCTGTCACATGCAAATCAAAAGAGTTATGGGAGCTGATATCGAGATTTTCAGGTTTTTCACCGATTTCTTGATTGCTGAACCAATCTGTTTCGAGCTCCTCGGGGAACCCTTCTCTAAACAAGTTCCCGGACATGGTTTTTGCACACGATGACTTAACGTAATGACTACTTCCCACTTTGTTTGATTGAAATTTATGCAGAATACTAACCTGACTAGGTATGCATGTTGGGTTCCAACTACAATATGAAGAAACAACAATTTCACGATTTTTAATTTCTTGCTCCATTACATCATAGAAAACCTCAGTTCTCATTGATTTATGGAGAAAAAACAAGACAACCCTATATATGAATTTAAAGATGCAAGTGATTCTTAAAAGATAAAACAATACAAACAACCGCCTCCTTAGCTCCTTTAACCATAGAAGAATCTGGAAAAAGAAGAGGAAAATAGGATGGAGATAGAAACTCAAGAAAAATAACTTGATATATCCATTTGGAATGATGATAGATTCAATGATAAACCAACAGGAACCTAGCAAACCCATAAGAAAATTTCGCACTCTCATGAGTTTCGTTTCTAGCAGTACTATAACTAATTAATAACCCAGTTGTTTGGTTTTCTTAATTAATTAATTTGCAACTATAATATTATTTTTAGTTACAAATGAAACATCGACGAAATAAACAAATTGATCTGCTAGTGACAATAAAATAGAAGTAGTCGAGGGTCGACAATTGATTTGTTAATGCGTATTTTTTCTCTTTCAAGAAAGACAGACGAAACTTACTTCGAATGAATGCACTGATTAGTTGGATTCTCATCAAATTATACGGCCATGCTCATGGCTAGATAGAGTTGAAGAAGAAAGACAGTAAATTGATCGATTATATAACTCTAATCCAATTTAATTTAGTTCAACATATGAAACATTTTTCATTTTTTTCTTTTTTAAAAATGAAAATTTAAGTTGGAACTAGATTTCAATGTATCAGCGTACTTATGTCATTACATTGCAAGAAGATAATTATGAATTAAGTCAATGATTTCTACACCTCAACAGTCATTAACAGCCAACCTAACCATGTATTTAATATTTATTAATTCATTCAATTAATTGTCGCATGTACTTCCTTCCTGGAGGATGCTAAGTCTGCCCTCAAGCTACTACTGATCAGTTCAAATGTCGAAAGAATTGATCTTCTAATTCATAGTTGAAGCCTATGACATGCAAATTTGAGCTCCAAAGAGTTAAGTAGAGACGGATCCCGAATCGAACCAAGATTTTCGAGCCAATATTTTTTTACAAGAAATTATTTTTATTTTTTTTAACACTTCCCTGGAGTTGAGGGAACTCGAACCAAGATTTTCGAGCTTTTTGCCCATTGTTGATCACTGAATCAATTCATATTGCGTTCTAAGAGAAATTCTTCTCTATATGTACAAGTTATCGGATGAGGGTTTTGTACACAATATTAAACTGGATAATATTTTTTATGCAGTAATAAAGAAGAAGAAAAGTTAAAAAGGTGGAGCAATGGTGGGACGGCCGGCTGGGATGGAGTATTTTGCCAACCCTATCATAATTACTCAAAAGTCAAAACATGTTTTGGGAAATCAAAGGTCACAGGACTAAACTAGTGGTGGGGACAAAAACATTGCAAATTAGGATATGTCGTGTCACTAAATTACAAGAGGATAATGATGGATTAAGTCAATGGTTTTCCACACCTCAACAGTTACTTGTGTAACTCGCTCGATTGCGTGACAATTCTTCTTTCTTTTTTTTGGAAAAAATAAATGTAAGTGATGATGGCATTTCCCCATCCCTCGAGCACGAGGACCGGAACTAGTAACGACTCCCCCTTTTGATCACATAGTGATCGGGCCTGTGGTGTCCTCGATACTCTCGAGGACGACGTTCCTCAGATTGCCCTAATAACTAGTTTGGGAGTCGTCGGGATGTTAGTCCTCGGGATATTTACTTAGACAGATCCAACATATTCCTTAACCAAATATTGCTTGTCCTCATTCATGAAGATCCCTAACCCTACACGGATACCCCAACCTAGGAATCCTAGATCACGAAGGAATCTTATCCTTAGTAACACTTCAAATAAGGTAAGTTTAAACTCCTACTTATATTCCAATGCTTACTCCTGAAAATAAGGAGATAAATCCTATTTGAACTGCACTACCTACCACTATAAATATGGCACTCTCATTCATTATCAAGGTACGTTTTACACACATATATTTAGCATATATTCTCTCAACTTCCCTAGCTGACTTAAGCATCGGAGGGGCGACGAGGACACACATCGACGCCTTTGTTTCAGGTACGGGAAGATCTTGTTCGTGAACTTCTCAGTGATCAAGCTCGGAATTCAACATGTGACGATTTTTGGTAAGATCAGTAAGGATGTAGTATAAATTGCAATTAAACAAGCGTTTGAAATATATGCATGCAACTAAATTCTATTTTTGTGAATAATGAATAAATTTTGTGATTAAGCAACGATAAAAATTCTCGAACAAGATAGGGACATTTTTATGCGCCAACACGACCACCTTGTAATCTCCGGCTTTCAAGTCCTGCTTGAATATTCTTGATGTCATGTTTCCCTAGTGAAGAAAATGGGGACCTCGGTATATTTTTTATTTCTCTAGTTGCTGGATTCCAGTTCCACAGGTAAAAATATTCGCCATAATCATGAAGACAAAATATACCATGGCAACGTCCCATAATTCTCATACAAGACTGATGGTATTTTTTAATAGTGTTCTATAGTTCATCATTCAAGAACAAGTAGAGGAAGTCTTCATATGTATCTTCTGTTGCAGTCTGCAAGAGCTATGTTCGAATGCTTGAGAATAGAACTATGGTGTCTAATCATGGAGTACCATGATTTGCAAACGTACTTGAAACGCATTAGAGATTTTACGGGTAACCTTGACAAGATCTCGATATAGTCAAGATTGTCCATTTTCTAAATGTAACGTAGATTTAAGAGTGCAAATTTTTAATTAAAAGAAAAAGGGACAAAATGAGTTTGAACATTTAAATAAAGTTAAGATTCTCTACAAATATATAATCAATGCAAGATTGAAGATTTTCAGGCCATTTTTGTATGTAAAACAATTGCATAAAAATGTGAAATATTTAATAACTCAATTTGCATATTTCAGGTTCAGATCTATAAGCAGTGACAATTGCCCTACGAAGGCTCGCTTTCGAGACGGCTCCGGGACCTCCAACTTACATTATTGATCAAACTATTAGTTTACAAATTTTGTATTATCTGAACTAAAGATACATATGTACCAGTAACTAGAATGACAAAACCCATTAACACAGTAAGCCCAATGACCACTTTTTCAAGCCCAATCCTCCTATAAGCCCCTGAAATCTTCAAGTAACAAAAACATGGAACTAATATTGAGCCCGTGACACTCAAGAATGCCCCAACAAGACCCATTAGAAGCCCAAAAAAGGGTAAAGTCAACGCTACAATAACACTACCGGTCAACAATGTTGTCTTAACCAACAGACTGAACGACCTTTTATTGCAATAGGACTTGAATTGATTTTCAATTGCATTGGCAATTGGCATTAGCATCAATGCGTATTTGGCTATAGGATTCACCAAGGCAGTGTATATGGCCACTTTTGAGCTAATATTTTCGATCGGGAGGTTTAGCGTTATTTGTGATTGCACTTGTGAACCGAACATAAGGTACCCTAAAATCGCCACCGTTCCGTATGTAATTGTACAGAAGAGAAAGCACGTGACCAGAACCTGAAAAATTAAACAAATTTTAGTTTCTTTTCTTTCTGAATACTTTTATGGATATTAATCGGGGGGTTTGAAAGAATGAGCCGTACCATGGAGAATTGCTTTTGATTTCTCATAGAAGTATATAATGTAGGGAAAACCGGATGAGCACAATAGCAGAAGGCATACAAGCTAAAAGTCGTAGGGATTCCACCCAAATTCAAAAGCATTCCCTTTTGGTCAAATCCGATGTTGTCACTTGTGCCAGCCCAGAAAATCGACGCAGTTATGATTACAGAAGCTAAAACTCCAGTAGCAGATACGTATGAAAGAGTTTTCATGTTGTTTATCCAAACAGTTGGCATTATAACAAGGCCGACGAGTATAACAAAACTTTGTTTTCCACCAATTGTGATGCCGTAGAAATTTATTTCAAAATATGGGAATAAATTATGCAGATTATCTCCGGCCAAGATTAGAAATCCAGTGGCAACCAAGTAAAGTTCAAGATGCATGAAAATGGAGACAAATATTCTTCCTTTTGAACCAAATGCTTTTTCCCCAATGTCAGGATAGCTTCTTATGTTTGTATCAAAATCCATACATCTTTTAATCAAGAAGCCTGTGTACAAGGTTGCAATTGCAATGACAAATAAAAGTACCAAGCTTAACCAACCTCCCGAAGCTAATGCATATGGAACCGAAAGAATCCCGACTCCTGAAAAAAATTAAAAAGTACACGAAGTTTATATTCGGATGATAATGCTGGTAATATGTCTCGTATCTAATAACTTAAACTTTTTAATCGAGGTTGTACATGAAGTTGAAAATAGGGGAGGGACCTGAGAGAGAATTAAGCCCATTAAAAGTCGTCTTGAAGAAGGAGGTTGTGCCAGTGGATTGGTGACTAACATAGTCGAGCCCCTCGGCTTTCTCCACATCACCAAGCGCATGTCGCAGTGTTTCGTCATAGTTAACCAGTAGTGGTACAGTAATAGACAGCCCATCTTCTGATTTGGCATCCATTGAAGTGAGAGAAATGCTATATTTCTTGCTTCAAGAATGCAACCGACCAAGATTGAAGAAGAGTTATGTTTTTATGCCAATTCCTTCGAACTTTGGTCCCCTTTTATATTGTTAGTTTAAAGAATCATGATAGTCGGTCATCTATTCATTAGAACACGCATTTCTTGTGGCTATTTCTTATTTCTCACGTGAGATAATGGATACAGAGACTCATAATAATTTTTTGTTGAGTTGACCATATGAAAGGGGAATAATACTTGTACACCTTATGGTGTACGCACAGGTTTATACCCCCCTTCAAATGGAGGATTGTTAAATGATAAGTGTTCAACTTCTATTTGAACACACTGTCCAAAAATATAACTATTAAGTTCAATATATTGATTCATTGTAGAGGAGACGCTTCGAAAAATTAGATTGCTACTTTTCAAAAATACAACTTTTTAAGCTTAGTATATCGATTAGGTGGAAGACTCTTCGTAAAATAAGATGAGTTTCCCATTTTAACCTTTGAATTAAAAAGTGAGCCAACCAATCTTCGCATATTTTCTCTTCTAACACCCGAGGATAAAAAAGGATACTCCATCATCACAAGTACATCAAGTGGGCATTACTAGATAAGACGAGTTATGTTCTGCTCCACACATTCAATGTGCAAATGCATAAAAACAATGTTACAACTTATAACCTAAAGCACATATATATATTTTTTTAATTAAAATAGTTTTTAAATGAAACTGATTCAATGTCACTTATTTGAAGGACAACTCCCACACAACTCTTGCGAAAGCTAAAAAAACATGTTTACAATACACGGCAAGAGACAGATACACGGCAAGCATTTTACAATGAAAGGCAACAGACAGACAGACGGCAAAATTACTTTATCTATGACACTGACACTTGAAAGGCAGCTCTTGTAAAAATTAGCTCCCATTTAATTTTGTTAAAAATCATATTTTTAACAAATTTTAATAAAAAATAATAAAATTAGTTATTAAAAAAATGTGAATCTCATTAAGCCCTTGTTTAGTATTGATTTAAATCAATTTTTAATCTAAATTAAAGTCAAACTATCAATATTAAATACATATTTTTAAAAAATTGAAACCAAGCGACTACTTTATTTTTATATATCAATTAAAACTCTTCTATAAAAGGCATAAGCAAAAATAAATCCTATCAAATGAAAGTACGGCGCCACGGCACGCACGTTTAATACACTTGAAAATATGTTGTACTTTTAAGTGCACATGAAAGGAGATTGTGTCATATAAGTTACTAGCTTTTCACGTTCCGACAAAAAATGAGCTACCATGAGTGACTGCTCACAGTAGATCACGAGATCTTGTTTTGAATTGATCACATGGCTAAACAAATTTAAAAATAAGAAATTAAAATATCATGTAAGAAATAAATCTGGCTTAACATGCCCATATCAGTTTAAGCTCAGCATGCTATAAAAGTTCCCCATATAACCATTAGATTTGCATAATTACGTTGATAGGACTACAATACATAAAAACAAAACAGTACACACAAGAAATACCAGGTTCACGTATCATCTCGACCGGACTTCCTTGCTCGTATGAAGGTTTGACAGGATACGAGATCTATCCCGTTAGAAGGCAGCTAGACAATTCAAAAAACCTTTTCAGAAACTACAAAACTTCCAGGGTTGATGGTAATGCTCTTGGTGCAATTATCAGTTTTGTAGATTCCAACAAGCCGATCTGCCAACTCAAACATGTTGTTCCGAAGGCTGCATATATTGCACAAAAATAATTACTAGACATGAACGTGTATGTTCTATAGAGGTGCAAATACAAATTGTTGCTCCAAATCTACCTTATAATTATGAATTGAGCATTCTTTGTACGGTCTTTCACGTAGTGTCCCACGATTGAAACATTCTTGAAATCTAGAAACCGAGGATGGAAATAGAACTGAAGATTAAAAACAAAACATATTTTAACATAATTGATCGAGGCTAGACACGATTGAAATGGTACCTAATGCAGCATCAATCTCATCCATCACATAAAGTGGAGTAGGTTTATAATGGTGCAAGGCAAAAACGAGAGCTAACGAGCTAAGAGTCTGAAATATCAACACCAAACAGAGTAAAAGCAAAGCCAAGTAGCAAATATGTCTACTGTAAATTTTCCAAGCAAGCAGGATACCTTTTCACCACCGGATAAATTTGCAATATTCTTCCAGCTCTTTTTGGGCGGTCGGACACTGAAGACAACGCCTTCAGAAAAGGGATCCAATGAGTCCACTAGCTCGAGTTCTGCATCACCTCCAAGGGTAATCATCTGTAGCAAAGCAGCACAATGGCCATGAAGAAACAAATTTTAGCCTTTGAGAATAAATATAACCCTAATATGCAAATAAAATTTGTCGGCAAGAAATAAAGAAAAACAACTAAAAAGTTCAACGCAGAAAAAAAAAAATCGACTTTACAAGCTTCACAAATGTGTCAACTGTCTAAGTTCACACAATTGGAACTGCAGTTAACAGAATTATTGACATTTGAAAATTTTGTTGACATAACTACAGCATTAACTATTTCTTTCATTATACTCATATCCCATCCACAAAACCTTAGCTGTCTGAACACGCCTGGTACACAGAAAATGGATTCCAACAGTCCAAGGGCAGATGCCACTCAGCAAGCACAAGAGTCGGGAAACTAGACGTACAGGCAAAGAAGGATATAGAATTATTAAGTATACCTGATACATTTCTTTTAATTTCAAAGATATAGTATTGAAACCTTCCATAAACTCATCTAACCTAAAAAAATTAAAGACAATTTGTTAGTATCGAGCAGGTATAGATGTATTGAAACAATAACTATAAGATAGAACACGAAAGATTTGCCTTCTCTTCCTCAAGTCATCATGCTGCTTCTTTACATCATCACGCTGGTGAGTAATTGAATTAAGATCTTCAACTCTCTCACTGTACAAGTTTACTTTCTTTCGGTACCTAATACAATGACTAGAGTGAGCACAGAGATATCCATGGAAGAAATATGCTACAATCTTATATCCAATTAAAGACCAGAGTCCTGTGTATACTCTGAGATTGAGTCAAGATTTGGATTCATCTCTTTCAGTTGAGCCTCAAGAAGTGCCACCATTTCAAGAGCCCGCTTAAGGTCGTGAGTATCCTCAAGAGTTCCATCTTCCAGTGTTGCTTGCATCTTTTCTGGATCCACCAAATCTTTCTGAATCCTGAGCCAATAAATATGGGAGGTCAGAACTGGTGCGTCCACACATAGAAACTTAAAAAAATGAGCACACACATGAAAATAAGGCAGGTTTTAAACACCCCTTCACAATTTCAACAATGCAGTAAGGAGATAATGCTTACTGCTCCAAGTGCTTTGAGAGAGCAATTTGGAGTTCACCAATCTTTTTTTTGTATACTTTTCCCTTAATTTCTAACTCTTTAAAGGCATTCTTCATATCCTGTAACTTGTAATCAGCATCCACCTGCACTAACAGTTACAACAGTTTATTAATAGATTGACTAGCAAAATGGAAACGGTGAAAGAAGTTGGTGAACCAAACCTCTGAAGCCCGCAGCTCATCCACAATTTTCTTCAGTCTCTCGTAGTCAACTTTTGTTTTATCCAAAACATCTTTGTGTTGATCAATTAACTACAAATACAAAAAGTACACCATACAGAAAAAAAACTCGTCAAACCATTTGACTTCATATGATGCCAAACGTAATATCTACACTCATCTACAAAACTAACCTCCTGTGTTTTCTTATAGTTCTCCTGAACAGCAAAAGCCTTCTGTTCAACTTCTTTAAAGGCGGAATGCATTTTCTCTTTTTCCTCCAAAAGTCGTTCTTTCTCCTTCTTTGACTCTTCAATCCCCTTTGTCAGCTTCTTCACCATTTTCTGGCCAGTTTCTATCTGAACTTTCCGACGGTTAATCTCAGTGCCTTTTTTATCGACATCCTGAAAATCAAGCACCATGAATGGGTATAACCGTTCATTCACAATTTAAATGTTCATTTTAAAGGATTTGCATACTTACAGATTGAATTTTATTAACCCTAGACTTCTGACTTTTCAGTCTTTCACCACCAGCATTCTCTAAATTGTTCTGAAGCCCAGAAGCCTAAAAACAGTGGTAAAAGGATATTAATAGATTCCTGCCAGAAAAGTACTACAAGACAAATTTGAAAACTAAAAACCGAGTTAAAATTAATTTTGCAAGGAGATTAACTAAGAAATTATTAATGTAAAGATGGAGAACTAAAATCTCACAACCTTTTCCTTCAACTGTTTAGAACCTTCCATAAGCCTGTCTATTTCTTTTTCTTCAGCAGAAATGATATTTTCAAGTTCCTTTAGCCTATCAACCTCATCCTTCTTGGGCTTTGACGCTGCCCCGAGGGAATCTAATTGTTTTTTCAGATCGCTGCTTTGCGACCTTAGACAGTCGATCTGTTTGGAAAAACAGTGTATAATTTGCCTGATTGTTCAACATAAAGTATGAACATTCGAAAAGCAATTATCTTAGACAACACTGACCTCCTTTTGGCTTTTTGCTAATTCCATTTCAAGGTGAGAGGTTGCTCTTTCGGAGGCCTGGTAATGCTTCACTGAATCAGAAATTCTTTTTTGTACAATACTTAAGCTTTCAACAAAAGAAGCAAGCTCCTTTTCAGCATCTGCAACAGCTTCTCTGGAGACACTGGCAGCTCGGATAGATGTCCCCATCTTACCACCACATGGTTTATTTCCACCACCAGTCATGGTACCGGATTTTTCAAAAAGAGCACCGTCAAGGGTCACAACACGCCAGAATTCTTTCTTTCCACCATAAGCAATACGAGTTGCCTGATAGATAAAAATGCACAATAAAAATGTAATTAATTATGATAAACTACACAGTCCATGAGAACCCTTACAAACTGCATAATTTGAGAAACATCTTGGAAATTCTTGGTTAAATTACATTAAATTCTTA